AGGCGCGTTTAAACATTTGAATATGAACCCCAGTCTTCTTTCCCCGTCGAGTCACTTAGAGAGAGTTTAGTGAGATATCCTAGTCTCTCTCTCTCTCTCTCTTGTATCTGCCTTTCTAGCAAACTTTAAAGTGGTGTATAATAACATATGGTGAAAACCTTCTGCCAGGGCTATAGTATAGGAGATTCTCCTTTAACTATTTAAAAGACAACGATTTATTTTTCCTCAAAGTAAGGGTGATGCAGAGCACGGAGAGGCAGAGATAGAGAGAGAGAGAGGTTTACCATCCCTGGTTCACTTCCCAACTGGCTGCAACAGCCAGAGCTGCGCTGATCCGAAGTCAGGAGCCAGGAGCCTCTTTCAGGTCTCCCACATGGGTGCAGGGGCCCAAGGACTTGGGCCATCTTCTACTGCTTTCCCAGGCCTCAGCAGAGAGCTGAACATGAAGTGGGGCAGTTGGGTCTAGAACCAGTGCCCATATGGGATGCCAGCACTTCAGGCCAGGGCATTAACCTGCTGTGCCGCAGTGCCGGCCCCAATAAATACAATCTTAAAAAAATTTCGTCGGAGTAAAAATAACATTACTCCACAATTTGATTGACTACTTTATTCTAACACTGTTCAGAATCATTTTTACAGCATCAAAACTATTCTTATCCTCCCATTTAAAGCAAAAATGAAGCTAATATGGCATGGAGAGTCCAAAATCACACAGAACTAAACCATGAAAGGCAGCGTTCATAGTCTTTATGGGTATTGGAAGCAGTTTTTTTTTTTAAGTTACAATGTAATTTCATGAATGTCAATAAATGCTTGAGGCCAGTGCTGTGCCTTAGTGGGTAAAGTCATCGCCTACAATGTCAACATCCCATATGGGTGTCAGTTCTAGTCCCAGTTGCTCCTCTTTGGATCCAGTCTCTGCTACGGGCCTGGGATAGCAGTAGAAGATAGCCCAAGTACTTGGGCCCCTGCACCCACATGTGACATCTAGAAGCTCCCGGTTCCTGACTTCAGATCAGCTCAGCTCCGGCCATTGTGGCCATTTGGAGAGTGAACCAGCGGATAGAAGACCTTTCTGTCTCTCCGACTCTCTCTCTATAACTCTACCTCTCAAATAAATTAAAAAAAATATTTAATAAAGTAAAATGAAATAAAATGCTTTGCAGAATACATGTCCTTCCATTGAGATCATCTTATCTAAGCCCTACTAGGCACGAGATATGGTGCTGGATGTGTTCATTAGAGTCACTGAATTTATACCCTATCTAGGATGGTATGGAGATACTGGAGGTAACAGTGAGAAAAATTGCTATGAGAATTCTGCCAACCACACCGGTTACTCGACATCCTCCAAAGCTAAGAGAACAAGTCGCATCCATCAAATGACCCTCACTCTCTGCTCTGGAGTATAGACATCTTCAGAAAAGCTACATGAGAAGACATCAAAAAGCTTATGCAAATATTACATTACTTTTTAATTCCTTTTTTTTTTTTTTTTTACAGGCAGAGTGGACAGTGAAAGAGAGAGACAGAGAGAAAGGTCTTCCTTTACCGTTGGGTCACCCTCCAATGGCCGCCACGGCTGGTGCACCGCACTGATCCAAAGGCATGAGCCAGGTACTTATCCTGGTCTCCCATGGGGTGCAGGGCCCAAGCACTTGGGCCATCCTCCACTGCACTCCCTGGCCACAGCAGAGAGCTGGCCTGGAAGAGGGGCAACCGGGACAGCATCCGGCGCCGCGACCGGGACTAGAACCCGGTGTGCCGGCGCCGCAAGGTGGAGGATTAGCCTAGTGAGCCGCGGCACTGGCGGTTTTTATAACTTCTGGTATCACTGATTTTCAACTGCTGAAACATATGAATTTGCTGCTCCCAGAATGCCAACAAAGATCTTTGCTGGTTAAGGAAGACTTTGATAGCACAGGGCTGTAGGTACATGGCTGAACAAGATATCCTCTGTTAGGTCGCTTTTGGCCTAATGGTTTTCTTAAAGGCTCCAAACAGTGGGCCAGTTCCGTACCGCACATTAAGCCTCCTCAGGGCACCCACATCCTGCATCAGAGTGCTCGCTTTGTCCCAGGTACTCTACGTCCAGTCTAGCCTCCTGGTAACACAGCTGGAAAGGCAGCAAGTGATGGCCCAGCTACATAGGTCCCTGCCAGCCATGGAGGAGACCGGGATGGAGAAATCCCGCTCCTGACTCTGGCCTGGCCAGCCCTGGCTGTTGTGAGCATCTGAGCAGTCAACCAACCAGTAGATGGAAGATCTCTTTCTCTCTCCCTGTCATTCTGCCTTTCAAATACATAAATCTTTTTTAAAAAAAAAAGCTTCCAAGTAATTTAAACAAATACTCAGAATGTAACAATAAAAAATCTATAGAGAATGCAGTTAATTAATCTGGATTATCACTAGAGTGTTATTTTATTTTTGCACAATGATAATGTCTACATGTAGCCAAGCTGTCTGAAACTCAGCTTTACACACTTCCTTCAGAACATTCATTTTTTATGTCAAGTACTCCCCTCCAGTACAATGAGATCTAATGTTAATTGTGAGGCAGAGTCATGATTTACAGAATCACATGCTGGGAGTAACCCCTGGCAAAAAAGGCATTCTAAGAGGGCGCTGACAGAGGCAGAAACTGACAATCTAGTGATATATACCAAAACTTATAAATGTGTAAATACTTTGACCTAAATCTTCCACACTCACAAAGCAACTGTTGCAGCATCATTTAGAAGAGCATATTTTTAAAAAACATAGGGGCCAGCACTGTGGTGTAGCAGGTAAAGCTGCCGCCTAAAGTGCCGGCCCCCGATATGGGTGCCGGTTCAAGTCCCAGCTGCTCCACTTCTGATCCAGCTCTCTGCTGAGGCCTGGGAAAGCAGTAGAGGATGGCCCAAGTCCTCAGGCCCCTGCACCCATATGGGAGACCCAGAGGAAGCTCCTGCCTCCTAGATTTGGATCAGCACAGCTCCGGCTGTTGTGGCCAACTGGGGAGTGAACCAGCAGATGGAAGACTCCCCCGCTCTCTGCCTCTCCTTCTATCTCTGTATAACTCTTTCAAATAAATAAATAAATCTTTAAAAAAAACTATATAAATTGTGCAGGGACTGACTAAATAAACTGTAATATTTCCATGAAATGCCATGCAGCCTCAAAAAATTAAAAAGCGAGCCCTCCTTGCTCTGATATAGAATCACATATTTAAAACATCCAGGATGAGGCCGGCGCCGCGGCTCACTACGCTAATCCTCCGCCTTGCGGCGCCGGTACACCGGGTTCTAGTCCTGGTCGGGGCGCCGGATTCTGTCCCGGTTGCCCCTCTTCCAGGCCAGCTCTCTGCTGTGGCCAGGGAGTGCAGTGGAGGACGGCCCAAGTCCTTGGGCCCTGCACCCCATGGGAGACCAGGAAAAGCACCTGGCTCCTGCCATCGGATCAGCGCGGTGCGCCGGCCGCAGCGCGCCGGCCGCGGCGGCCATTGGAGGGTGAACCAACGGCAAAGGAAGACCTTTCTCTCTCTCTGTCTCTCTCACTGTCCACTCTGCCTGTCAAAAAAGAAAAAGAAAAAAAAAAAAAAACATCCAGGATGTAGTAACTGCAAAGAGCAAAGGGCAGAAGTGCGTGTCATCTCCCACAGCACTCACATGTGTGAGCCGGAGGAGGTGCATGCAGAGAGGCACCGAAGCTCCGGAAAGCACACGCAACATCGTGTACACATGCAACCACCCTCAGTAATGTGGCACAAGGGGGGTGGGAAAGGCAATAAAACAGATTTTTCACCATTTTTTTATTTTTGAATTTTGAACCACGTAAATATACCATCTGGTTAAAAGACTGACCAGTTAAGTCTTTAAATTAATGTTAAATTAAAGTTAAAAATTTTGGTCAATGTATAACTTGTACAAAAAAGTTTAGGATTGATTCATCTTGATACAGTATATCTCAGAAGATTTTATTGTAATGAAACACTACACATTATTATCACAACCTGGGATGTTCCTTCTCTGAAAACATCCCCCATTCTACTCCCACATTTATTATTACACAGTCAAGGAACACAAGGCCAGAGGATCTTGGGAAATCTGAGCCTCTCAATTCACACACAAGACTGTGCCCCAAGAGCCTGAACAACTTCACCAACACACAGTCAGCAGGCAGCAAAACACAGCCCAGAAGCCAACTCAAACTCCACCCTACTCTCAGGATCTCACCACCTCCAGAGTGCCAGCCCAGACCCTGGCTGCCACGTGAATGACAAGCCCAGTGGGGCTGACATCCTCCCTCTGAGACACTTCTGAGTGCTCACAGAGGGACTGTGCTTCACAACTGGGTTACATTTTAGCAAAGTGCCAAAAGTAGCCACAGAATAAACATCCAATGGGGAATGGACAAAGTCAGTTATACAAGAAAATCTGAAAAAATGTTAAGCAACTTAGCAATCAGGTAATTAATTATTTTTAAACTAAACAAACACCAATACATGGTGGCATAGAATCTGAACATACAAGAATATTTAAACAGGACACATTCAAACAAGCTGCGTGCTGCTCCTCATTGAGTCTGATCTCAGAGGCCTAGAAGCACAGTACATACATTCAGCCTTTGAGACTCCTAAGGGCATACGGTCAGAGCTAGACAGACGTGGACACGTCATCTATTCTTGCCAGTGTGTGCCCTCGGGTCAGTGATGGACCTCGCGGCGCAGCACTGCAGTTTTTCCGTCTGTAAAATACAGTCAACAGTACCTAGCTTGCTTGTAGTTGTTACAAGGACGGGAGACAGAACATGTTCAGCAAACTGCCTGGGCTCTAGGATCGTAATAAATGATGACCACTACTACCGCTCTAGAGTCTGCTGGCCTCTCTATTTGACTATCTAACCATTCATCTGGCTTCAGTTTGCAAGAACAGGATAAGGGAGGCTATGGGTAATTTATAAACCCCATCACCCAGGACAGCAGGGTAAGATTAACTCAGTGAAGAGTTCATTGTACTCACATATTTCATTTCAAACTTCTTAGCCAACATTTCCACTTCTTGCCTCTCTTGATGTTCATCATTAAATGGATCTTCTGTTTGAATGAGCTTCTTCTGATTCAAAATGAACGAGAAAAGAAATGCAAGTATTAATGCTTCAATTATATCTATATATTTACATAATTACTTCCATTATATGAGGGACTATAAAAAGTTGATGGAAAACTCACAGGATCCCTTTTACAAAAAAAAAAAAAGAATTTATTTATTTAATTTATTTGAATGAATGACAGAGAAAAGAGAGAGAGGGAGAGACAGAGAAGGAAGAAGGAAGAGAGGCCGTTGAGGGAAGAGCTTCCACCCAATGGCTCATTCTCCACATGGCAGCAGCAGCCGGGGCTGGCCAGGCCAGAGCCAGCAGCTCTAAACTCCATCCAAGTCTCCCACATACGTGGCAGGGGCTTGAGTACTTGGGTCGTCTTGCACTGCCTTCCCAGGCGCATTACACCAGGGGGCTGAACTGGAAGCAGGGAAGCTGGAACTCAAACAGGCACTCCAATACGGGGGCCAGCATTACAAGCAGTGGCTTAACACACTTCTCTCTTTATTTTTAAGATTTATTTTATTTATCTGAAAGAATTATAGAGAAAGGTAGAGACAGAGAGAGGTCTTCATCTGCTGGTTCACTCGCCAAGTTGCTGAATACGGCTGGAGCTGAGCTGATCTGAAGCCAGGAGCTTCTTCAGGGTCACCCATTCCAGTGCAGGGGCCCAAGGACTTGGGCCATCTTCTACTGCTTTCCCAGGCCACAGCAGAGAGCTGGATCGGAAGAGGAACAGCTGGGACTCGAACTGGTGTCCATATGAGATGCCGGCGCTGCAGGCCAAGTACTGCTGCAGCCGTCTGGGGAGTGAACCAGGGGATGTGAGCTCTACCTCAGGCTCTCCCCTTCTCTGACTCTACCTTTCAAATAAATACATTCTTTTTTTTTTTTAAGATTTAGTTATTTATTTGAAAGGCAGAGTTACAGAGAGGCTGAGGTAGAGACAAAGAGAGAGATCTTCCATTTGCTGGTTCACTCTCCAGATGGCTGCAATGGCCGGAGATGTGCTGATACGAAGCCGGAGCCAAGACCTTCATCTGGGTCTCCCATGCATTTGCAGGGGCCCAACAACTTGGGCCACCTTCTACTGCTTTCCCAGGCCACAGCAGAGAGCTGGATTCAAAGTGGAGCAGCCAGGACCTGAACTGGCACCCATTTAGGATGCCGGCACTGCAGGCAGCGGCTTTAACCACTAAGCCACATTGCCAGGCCCTAAAATAATTCTTAAAAAATAAAGATGAAGCCGGCGCCGTGGCTCAATAGGCTAATCCTCCACCTTGCGGCGCCGGCACACCGGGTTCTAGTCCCGGTTGGGGCGCCGGATTCTGTCCCGGTTGCCCCTCTTCCAGGCCAGCTCTCTGCTATGGCCAGGGAGTGCAGTGGAGGATGGCCCAGGTGCTTGGGCCCTGCACCCCATGGGAGACCAGGAAAAGCACCTGGCTCCTGGCTCCTGCCAGGATCAGCGCGGTGCGCCGGCTGCAGCGGCGGCCATTGGAGGGTGAACCAGCGGCAAAGGAAGACCTTTCTCTCTCTGTCTCTCTCTCTCACTGTCCACTCTGCCTGTCAAAAAAAAAAAATAAATAAAAAAAAAAATTAAGGATGACCTGGGCGCCTGGTTGTGCAAGTTAACGCCCTGGCCTGAAGCATGAAAGCATTGCCATTCCAATATGGGGTGCCGGTTCGAAGGCCCCGGCTGCTGCTCTTTCCAATTTCAGCTCTCTTGCTTATGGCCCGGGTAAAGCAGTTAGAAAATGGCCCAAGTCCTTGGGCCCCTGCACCCACGTGGGAGACTGGGAAGAAGCTCCTGGCTCCAGACTTCAGATCAGCGCAGCTCTGGCCGTTGCAGCCAATTGGGGAGTGAACCATCCGATGGAAGACCGATCTATTTCTCTGCCTCACTTCTCCTTCCCCTTCCCCTCCCCCCTCCTCTCTTTGTGTAATTCTGACTTGCAAATGATTAAATAAATCTTTTTAAAAAAAATAAAGAAAAAGGGCCAGCGCCGAGGCTCACTAGGCTAATCCTCCACCTTGCGGCGCTGGCACACCAGGTTCTAGTCCCGGTCGGGGCGCCGGATTCTGTCCAGGTTGCCCCTCTTCCAGGCCAGCTCTCTGCTGTGGCCAGGGAGTGCAGTGGAGGATGGCCCAAGTACTTGGGCCCTGCACCCCATGGGAGACCAGGAGAAGTACCTGGCTCCTGCCATTGGATCAGCGCGGTGCGCCGGCCGCGGCGGCCATTGGAGGGTGAACCAACGGCAAAGGAAGACCTTTCTCTCTGTCTCTCTCACTGTCCACTCTGCCTGTCAAAAAAATAAATAAATAAATAAATAAATAAATAAATAAAAATAAAGAAAAAGGGCCAGTGTAGTGGCGTGGCGCAGTAGGTTAATCCTCTGCCTGTAGCACCGGCATCCCATATGGGCGCTGGTTCTAGTCCCGGTTGTCCCTCTTCCAATCCAGCTCTCTGCTGTGGCCTGGGAAGGCAGTGGCGGATGGCCCAAGTCCTTGGGTCCCTGTGCCCACATGGGAGATCGAAAAGAACCTCCTGGCTCCTGGCTTTGGATCAGCACAGCTCTGGCCATTTGTGGCCAAAGTGGAGTGAACCAACAGATGGAAGACTTTTCTCTCTGTCTCATCCTCTCATTGTCTGTAACTCTACCTTTCAAATAAATAAATAAAATCTTTAAAAAATTTTTAAAAATAAAAAAACATATCCACAATTTTAATAGAGTCATACACAAGAACAAGACAATCCACACTGTCTCCACCTGCAAAGTGATCTTACAGTCACCCCATCCAAAACATCAAGGCAAAAAACTCCCAGAAACATTAGATAAAAATCTGGTCATGAGCAACAAAATGGATGACTCTGGAAAGCATCATACTTTTTGAAATAAGCTACTCCCAAAGGGACAAACACCACATGTTCTCCCTGATTTCAATAACTAATAGAGCACCTAAAAGGAAATCTGTAGACATGAAATTGACACTTTGAGAAGCAATGACTTGAACAGCCCTGTCTTGACTATCGATGAATTTTTTTTTCTTTTTCATACTATTTGTTGAACTCTTTACTTAACATAGAGTTAATCACTTGTGTATAAAGTAAATCAAAAATGGATCTTGGTCAGCGCCGCAGCCCACTAGGCTAATCCTCCGCCTGTGGCGCCGGCACCCCGGGTTCTAGTACTAATTGGGGTGCCGGATTCTATCCCGGTTGCTCCTCTTCCAGTCCAGCTGTGGCCCGGGAGTGCAGTGGAAGATGGCCCAGGTCCTTGGGCCCTGCAGCCGCATGGGAGACCAGGAGGAAGCACCTGGCTCCTGGCTTCGGATCAGTAACGCAATGGCCATAGCAGCCACTTGGGGGGTGAACCAACGGAAAAAAGAAGACCTTTCTCTCTGTCTCTCTTACTGTCTAACTCTGCCTGTCAAAAAATTAAAAATTAAAAAAAAAAAAAAGAAAATGGATCTCAATAAAAAATAAGAGTGGGAATAAAAGAGGGAGGAGAAAGTGTGTAACTGTAAAGCTGTATAGTTCTGCATACAATCCTACAAACTTAATTCTAAGGGTACAGTTTAAAAACTTGTCATAGGATCCCAAATCCCATTAAGCTGAGTGGTAATAATGCCATCTTGAGTGTTAAAGTGATCATATTAAGTGTTAAAGTGAACATTTAGAAAGTATTAAGTGTTAAAGGGATCATATAAATAGGATCAAGTGTCTCATAATAATAGAATTACAAAAAAGAGAATGTTCCAACATGGGAAGAGTCCACACAGCAGACACAGAATGACAATCGCTTTAAACAGCACTCTGACCTCAGAATCAGCCCTTAAGGCATTCTGGTCTGACTGAAAAGCCCATGAGAGCATTTCAGGCATGGAATGCCAAGACACTGTGGCAAAAAAAAAAAAAAAAAAAAAAAAAAAATGTCCTACATGAAGGACCTCTATGAGTGAGACCACAGTGGAAAGAAGGGGCCATCAAAGAAGAATGTACTTTTCTCTGAAGGGAGGCAAGAACTTCCACTTTGCTTATGGCCTTGTCTGAATACTGACAATTTGTGGATTCAAAAGGCTTCCATAGCCTAGGCAGCTCACATGAAGATGATCACTGTTGTCATATATGAGTGTTAATTGTTAAATTAACAACAGGAGTCACTGTTCACTAACTTCCCATGAAGGACTTCTGTCCTCAATGAGTTGTATTATGAGGATTAACTGTAAAACTTGTTCTCAGTTTTGTTTTTTTGTGCGTGGGTGTGTGTATGTGTGTTCAAATTTTTGAAATCTTTACTTAGAGTTGGTCTTCTGTGTATAAAGTTAATTGAAAATGAATCTTAATGGAGAATTGGGCTGGGAATAGGAGAGGGAGGAGGTGGGTGGGAGGATGAATATGATAGGAAGAATCCCTATATTCCTAAAGTTGTATTTATGAAATTTGTAATCATTAAATAAACATTTCTTTGAGAAAAAAAATTATATAAAAAATAGGGTCCGGCGCTGTGGCATAGTGGGTAAAGCTGCTGGCTATGGTCCTGGCATCCTATAAGAGCACCAGTTCAAGTCCCAGCTGCTCCACTTCCAATCCAGCTCTCTGTTACGGGCCTGGGAAAGCAGTAGAAGATGGTCCAAGTCCTTGTGGACCTGCATCTACTTGGGAGACCCAGAAAAAGCTCCTTATTCCTGGCTTCAGATCAGCTCAGCTCCGGCCATTGAGGCCATCTGGGGAATGAACCAGCAGATGGAAGACCTCTGTCCCTCCCTCTCTGCCTTTCAAATAAATCTTTAAAGAAAAAAAGATTTAAGGACTTACCAAACGTTTAAAAAAAAAGTCCACATGTAATTCTGATTGGGTATCTTCCCTAAAAACAATTAACTAGGGGGGCCGGCAGTGTAACTTAGCTGATAAAGCCTCCGCCTGCAGTGCCAGCATCCCATATGGACACTGGCTGGAATCCTGGCTGCTCCTCTTCGGACCAGCTCTTTGCTATGGCCTGGGAACACAGGAGAAGATGGCCCAAGTGCTTGGGCCCCTGCACCCACAGGAGAGACTGCAAGAGGCTCCTGGCTCCTGGCTTTGGATCAGCCTAGCTCTGTCCATTGCTGCCATTTGGGGAGTGAACCAGCGCATGGAAGACCTCTGTCTCTCTCTGCCTCACTATAACTCTATTTTGAAATAAATAAATAAATAAATAAACCTTTAAAAAATATTAACTTCTTTGGTCAGGAAATGCTTCTAAAAGGATATACAGTCTATTAATTAGTCACATTTAATCATCTGCCTGATAGCTACCACATGAAACTCTGCAGCTTCTACAGCCTTCTGCTGAGACCCAGTATCACCAACTTCTCTATCACCCATTTCCTGTCAATATAAATCCATTCAGAATACACACAATATACTCTGAAACAATTACAACAGTGAAACAGCTGCAAAAAGATCACACCACCATCGCTTCCTTCTAGCAGGGAAGACTGAAAGTCTATGTTATATATGGATTTATAAACTACATACACCGTGGAGCCAGCTTTGTGGCTTAGCAGATAAATCCCTTATGGGCACTGGTTGAGTTCTAGCTGCTCCACTTCCAATCCAGTTCCCTGCTAATGGTCTGGGAAAAGCAGCAGAAAATGACCCAAGTGCTTGGGTCGCTACACCCATGTGGGAGACTGAGATGAAGCTGCCAACTTCAGCTTGGCCCAGCCATGGTTATTGCCGACATATTGAGAGTGAACCAGTGGATGGAAAGACTTAACTCTTTCAAATAAATCAATAAAAATAGATCTTAAAAAATACATACACACAGAGAACAAGGATTGTACATTTACCATCTATTTACCAAAACAAACGAAAGAATCACATCCTATATTCAAGTGTACTATTTCAGCAGACATTGTGTGTATACATATATATGGTTTTCAATACAGCAAAATGTCAAAGCAAGCAGCTACTTTTAAAAACTTTTTTTTTTTTACAATTTCAGACAATTGACTAGAAAGTACATTTTTAAAAAGGAAGGCTCAATGTTTGTATGCAGCAGTATCTTCAAGTAACTAAACACAAAAGGCTTTCACAATTGAAATTCCTGGGTGACGATCTGGCTGGCCTTGAAGGGCCACAAAAAGGAAGAGTGAACAAAGATTTGCACTTTATAAATGAGACACCTGATCCGGATATAGAGCTGAGATATAATCCGTGTAAAACACAAGAAGGAAAAACACGGACAGAAACAATGCCAGGGAATCCTTTATAGCTGGGACTTTAGAGGAAAAGGAATACTCCCTAGGGCTTAAAGGAAACGATTTTAGATTCAATTTTTTAAATTATCGTAGTAAGTAATTAATGTATAAAATCTCGTATCCCAATAGGAATTACCATGATCCACAAGGAAATAAGCTAGCCAGAGTAGAGTGATAAAAAAGGGATACTAGGCCGGCACCGCAGCTCACTCTGCCTGCGGCGCCGGCACACCGGGTTCTAGTCCCGGTCGGGGCGCCGGATTCTGTCCCGGTTGCCCCTCTTCCAGGCCAGCTCTCTGCTGTGGCCAGGGAGTGCAGTGGAGGATGGCCCAAGTGCTTGGGCCCTGCACCCCATGGGAGACCAGGAGAAGCACCTGGCTCCTGGCTTCGGATCAGCTCGGTGCGCCGGCCACAGCGCACCGGCCGCGGTGGCCACTGGGGGGTGAACCAATGGAAAAGGAAGCCCTTTCTGTCTCTCTCACTGTCCACTCTGCCTGTCAAAAACAAACAAAAAAGCATACTAGGCCTTAGCTTGAGCCCTCAGACAGAACAGCCAGCAGCCCCCAAGCCTTGTCTTCACGAACTGTTCCCTCCCATGACGGAGAAGTCCAACCCCAGGTCTTACCACCAGTCTGCCCCACGTATGTGTGCAGATAGGAACACACATGCCTCTCTCACTTAAAGACGAGTGCCTGAAATATCTTACATGCTTTACAAAGGCTCCAAAAGTCTTTTATTATTGACAGGCTATAACATTTTTTGACTTATTTTTCTTTTAGAGTTAAGAACAACCCCACCCCACCCCCAAGGGCTGGTGTCGGGCACAGTTAGGTTGCCCTTGCAAGGCCAGCATCCCATTATCTGAGGGCCAGTTTGAGTCTCAGCTGCTCTGCCTCCAATCCACCTCCAGTAAAGCACCTGGGAAGCCAGCGATGGCCGACGGCTTAAGCGCTTGGGCTCCTGGCTCAGCCCTGGCTCTGGTGACCATCTGAAGGAGTGACCCACAGATGGAAGATGTACCTCAGTCATGCTGCCTTTCAAGTAAGTGAATCGCTGTCACCCCTCCCCAACCTCAAATCAAGAGGAATCAGGAATCGCTGTTTCTCCAAGTGAACGAAAAATCTGAAATGGCCAACCAACCACATGCACAACTAGGCAGTAACTGTGCCCTTGGACTCGAACTCACTGCCAGCACGCTCAGGACACCTTCGACAACTCACCCGCAATCCGCAGCCGGCCAAGCAGTGGCAGGCCACGGAACGCCGCAACAGTGCAGTTACAGGAACACTGTGTTCCCTCCCTTTTCACAGTACAGCCTCAATTAATTGTATCCACAAATGTACCATCTATTAACTGATTCTGTTTACGAGTCAAAATGTCTTTTTTTCTGTGGATCAATCACTGACAAACGCACGCTCCTTCAGCTTTGGCCTGGAATGGTGAACTCGTCACTCTGAGGACAGAGATTACCGGGGCTCAGCCGCCCCCGCCCCTCAACCCAGCACAGAACAGCGAGAACTAACAAGGGCTTAGGCACTCTGCACACCGACAAGCTGGAAGCTGGGTCCTCACATTTTCCCAGTGCACGTTTACTCAGTTGTGCTTTTATTCATTCATAAAGAGAATACGAAATTCTGACTGTTAGTGTTCAAGGGGGCTGGTGTAAATGTACCCCGACAGAGGTGGCCCCCAGCACCACACTGACCGAGAGCCAACATCTTGTTCAGTGACAGCTACTTCAAAAACGTGAAGGCATTTTTCTTCATATTACAAGATCTCTTCCTCAGCTTTCTACTTCAGCCTGCTACAAGATACACTGTTCAATAATAGTTAATTCAAATTTAAAGTTCTTTTGAAAATACTACATCCTTAAAAATAAATGAGCTCTCCAAATGAAAAGGGAGGAAAAACCAAATTTGGGGATCATCCGTTTCTATCCAACTCTAATGTTAACACTGTGCTTTCTCAGGCTCTCATCTAGGATTACCTTTCATGGAACTATGACAATTTTACTTAAAAAGGTATTTTCTATACTTATGTAAGCAATATATTCACTGAGAGTAACCACAGGAAAAAACTGGCAAATCTTTGTTGCAAAGGTGCCCTGCATAAAACATTTTTTGTTTGTTCAGGAGTATGACGAGATACACAGTTAGATAAACAATAAAACTGGGCAAATAAACCCCTAAATTGATAGCATATATCAAGTAAACACAACAAATGGAACGATTCACCTTTCCCCTATTCCATGAAACCACTGACAGCTCACCACAGGACGCCTACACCGAGTGTCCCAGGTGCCCAGGACACTGTGCCACCTAACTGCACAAACATGCTGCGATGCGTGCACGAGTGCGCCTCTCAGAACACAGCCTGTCACTGGGTGACACGTGATAAAACTCGGGTGTGAAAAAACTAGCCTTCTGAATTTTTCTATAATTAAGAATACATATCATTAATGTCTGATAGCATTAATATTACAGCATAAAGAGGATCACCATGGAGGTCTTTACATTGTTAAATGACTGATTTTACTTCATTTTGGTGGGATCCTCTAAATTTCAAGTATACACGTTTATTACAAAAAACGTTTACTAAGAATCAGTACTCCTGCGGGAAGAAGAACTGAAAAATTACATACAACCTTCTGCGTTACCCTCATTTGTAACACAGGGATACCGGTTCTTACCTATGGAGTTCTGCTGGACTAACCCAGATAAACCAGGTCCAGCGCTTACAGCTGTATTAGCATATAGTACAAAATCAGTGCATGTTAGCTGTTACTGTTTCGACCCAAAGATAACGCTTCTCATCTGCAATTTAGGAAAATTACAAAGACTGCACACCGACTTAGATTAGCAGGTAGAATACAAGCTACTTAGGAATGCTACAACCCACTATTTTCAGTATTCTTTTGGGAGAAGCTATGAAGAGGCGGGACAGTGAGTCTAAAGGGCAGACGTGGGATGTGGAAGTGCCCACATCTGTGCTCTATCTGGCGGAATCACTAACGATTTGACCATGCAACAGTGTTCATAAATAATCGTCAGTCACCCGGCCATAAAACAAACCCAGAGACATTGTTAAATAATGTGATACTTTGTGACCAAGCGCTTACTCACTCCTACCTAGTTCATAAAGACAGCGAGGGTGAGACAGAACCAGGGGCTGTGCAGTCCGTGGGCTGCGCCAGGCTAACCTCGCACAGGGCAGACCACACCACGCACCCGACAGAGACCACAGCGGCCAAGAAGCCTGCCTTGTCCCATTGTCCAGTCTCACCAAAGGCACACCTCCGGATTTCCAGCAAAGTTGTAGAAAATCCAAGCTGGGCTTTTCATCGTTCTACGAAAATTACCCGGCCCAGCAACGTCCGCCAACCTGGACGTCTCAACGAGAGCCACACAGGCCGGGCGGGCGCCGAGCAAGGCTGGCACGGGCCGCCCCTCACGACCCCCACACGGACCCACTCCGCAGAGGGCCGGCGCAGAGCGCCCACCGCACCGGGCGAGCAAGGACGCCGCGCCCCGCGCGCACGCACCGGCCTGGGCGGCCACGGCGCCCGCCAGCCTCGCCGCGGGGCGCGGGCGACCCCGGCCGGCTCGCCGCGGGGGCGTGTCCGCCGCCTCCCCTCCCGCCCGCGGGAGCGCCCCGGGGCCCCCGCGTGTCGCGGGAGCCCGCCCGCCCGCGCGGCCCCGGTCCTCTGTACCCGTTGCTCCCCGCACAGCAGCAGCTCCGGGTAACTGAACTCCACGCAGCTCTCGTCCGTGGGGTCCTTGAGCACCAGCTCCAGGCGCACC